TTTTTTTTTTTTTTTTTTTTTTTTTTTTTTTTTTTTTTAATCTGGCTCCATTCTATTGGTGGGGAGCTGCACCTGCTGGAAACCGGGTCCAGCGTCCTGACGAAGATAAGCATAAGTTATTCTATTTTCTTGACGAAGATAAGCATAAGTTATTTTCCTGACTGCGGTTCGAATACCGGGGAAGGCCGTCGTGTGAGTTTGAACTTAGTCACGCAAAGTGTATAACACGAATCCTACAGGCAAGAGGCATCATCGTCGGGTGTCAGCAGTCGCAACGCTACATTGCCAAGCAGGTGGACCGAGTATAGGTAGATGGGGGTTCTGTAGTGGTAACCGCTGTGTTAGTAATTAGCACCACTTTACTAACTGCAGTTCCGAGCTAAGTCAGGGCATATATTATGCTCACATAAGGGCTTTCCTGGATGTCTCTGGCCAATTCTGAATTTCTGACGCGTGGTGAGCTGAAATCTGTGGAGTAAGTCGTAGAATGAGTATGGCATGAGTTATAACGTCATTTCCGAGGCTCTTCTGGGATGTCCAGCAAATGCTGTGCGGTGGCGATTAACGACCCAACGTCTGTGGCTCAGCACGAGCACGAGGGTGCTGGCCTGTAAGTAAAAGAGGGTCAGTTCGGTCCCGGATCTCGACCAGGGGTTGGACCAGGTGCTGTCCTCTTCCCCGCGTGGAGAAAGACACAGACTTCTAGCTGTAGCTGTCGTCAGAGGGAGCGACCCACAATGACGCTGCCGCTGCTCTCCAATATTCACGGCGTTGCGAACATGAGGCTGACTTTCAGTCGCACAAGTGCGCTCATTGGAGCTTGGGCCTGCGTGGTGGTGCTTGTCCTCGTCGGACGCTTGGATCTACGAGTAGGAGTAGGAGGAGGAGAATGGAGGGGAGGACGCCGAGGAACAGCAGTACCATATCCTTACCGGTATGGCGTAGACCTACCGACTACGAGTAATTTGGAAGCCCCTCTTCCGTCGTTAGAAACCGACCTCAGAGCTTCAGGAAAACGGCTTCACGAACACGAAGATCGCGGCGATGGCGGCGATGGCGGCTATGGCGGCGAGGATGAGATTTCAGACACCCTCACAGAGAATCGGCCGGCAGGCATCGCAAGGCTGCATGCGTCTCCCACGGAGCAACCAGGGGCTGACGATTCATGGAAGTTGACGAACGGTTCTTTCCGATCGCAAGCAACAGTCACTGCGGAAGCAATACAAGAAGCGGGATCAGGAGCGGAAGCAGGGGCGGAAGTAGGGGCGGAATTGCCGACGGACGCAGGGTCGGAATTAGCGGCGGAATCAGGGTCGATGGATATGAGACTCACAGCTGAGGAGTCGGAAGCAGGCGGAGCGCCTGGGCCGCCCGTTACCGGCAGCGAGTCGCCATCTGCAGCATTTGCAACTGGTCAACTGAGCGCAGAGGGTCCAGGTCTTCTTCAGAGGAATCAGAGCCAAGGCCGCCGGCGTGACAGAGACGAAGCACAACCTCCATCAAGCACTGGGTCGCCCGGAGAGGAGGTGAAGAAGGTGACTCCTGCGAACACGGTGACCGAGAAAATACACGACCATATTGACGTCGTCGACGACGACGAGGACGACTGTGCGGCTATCAATTTCACTCGCAATCGAGTGTTCTCAGCCGCACATTTTGGCGATCAGGGCTCCGAGCCATCCTTCTTCACGCGGATTCGGCGGCAGTCTGCTTCTGACGAGGAACAGCGCGGCGCGCAAAACTCCACTTCGACTTCTGCTCCGCCGCCGCCGAGGCGGCGCACACGCAGCCTCGATCCGAGCCGGAGCCATACAGCTCAGCCTGAGTCGTCTCCTCTCTCCGCTAACATCACTAACATCCCTGACCAGGTGTTCTTCCTAGAGATGTATAGAAAGGTGAACAGCTGCGTCCATATTCACTGCTCAGTGGAGAGCTTTCTCGCTAAGAATCCCAACTACACGGTGTACATATACGCTAGCAATCTGAGCTATTACCGCACTAAGTGGTCAGAGCGCGCCGACCCTCGCATTTTGCTCAGAAGCTTCGATTTTCCCGAGATCTTTCGAGGCACGCCCCTGGGAAGCTGGTACGCGTCCGGCACGTACCGAAAGACGCCTTGGATCCCTGTCGTCCTGAGTGATGCGGCCAGATTGGCGCTGCTTTGGAAATACGGCGGGACTTACCTGGACATGGACATAATTAGTCTGAATGCTATGCCGGTCGGGTTAGGTAATGCAGTGGCGACGGAAGATGACGGATCCATCAATAACGCTTTCCTGAGGTTCTCGGCGCACCATGAATTCCTCCTAGAGTGTATGAAAGATTTCGTGGTGCATTTTAACGGAGGCGCGTGGGCACATCAGGGTCCGCATCTTGTGTCGCGCGTCTTCCATCGAAAATGTTTGGACATCGAGCAGGCGGAAGAGTGGCTGGTGTCGCGGAAATTTTCGAGAGAGAAGGCGAAGGCGCGAATTCGGAAAAAATTGGGGGTGTTGAACGA